ACTACTCATCGATAGGGGCAAAAAAATAAAACTATCGATACTATAGATAGTACCATCGATAGTTTGACACCTTTATTGAGTAGGTTAAAGTGCAAATTTCAAAACGCTAGAAATTTTGAATAATTTTTTTTTTGCTGACGGTGCTAGGCATTTTCTTGCATATAAAAGTAGTTGTCGAGCATACTTTATGTGGAAGAAAACGCACAAAACCGTCAGCCAAAAAATTATTCAAAATCAACGCGATTTCCTAGCGTTTTGAAATTTTTACTTTAACCTACTAAAATTTAATTGGTATAAACCAAAAACAAAAGCAAATTGGCCAAAACTGAGCAAAATGTCATTTAACTTAATAAGCTGACCACAAGGGTACAACTGTATGTACAGACATAATTAAAATATGCCCACTAGCTACAGTGGCAGCACTATTGGCTACACCTCTACAAAACTACCGATTTACTCGATAAAATTGAAATCTTCACCTTCACCTTCCACCTTCATTCTGTGACTAACGGCCCTCTTCTCACACCAAAGGCAAAACACTTCACATGACTTGTTTTAAGTACTCGCCTAATACTTTGACGCATTATAAGCATTATTTCGTCGCTCAATATGTCCTTACTGGAGCCCGGATTTTTATGCTAAAAATATCTAAAAGCATATGTATCTATGTATATATATATATATCTGTGTTCGTATGGAATAGGAGCTTATGTCGAAAGGCTGGCTTTAGTATAATGCAGCGAATGACTCACTGGCGCCGACACGTTGAGGAACTTTTGGCAAATAAACGTGCAAGAAATAGTTCCGAAACGTGCAAGAAATAGTTCAAATACTAGCGATACTTCTTATTAAGTCTCATCAAAAAATTCCTTGTCGTTTAAAGAATAAAAGGAATGCCGCATTATACTAAAACCAGCTTCCCGACATAAGCTCCCTGTAGGGAAACTCCGATCTGGTGAACCAAATTTATAGTTCCATACTAGATATTTATCGCCAAAAATTAACCAGTCCGATAGTAACTAGATCGCCACCAGTTCAAAAGCAGCGAGATGTGGTACTTTTAAAAAACAATTTCATTTTTTTAAATCTATATCCAAAATGACGAATTTAGAACTGATACGAAACTATAGAAAAAGGGAGGCGAACTAGATCTCATATGGCGAATTTCGAACTAGTTCGGAACTACCGAAAAAGGGATGCAGCGGGGGGCTTGTTTACTTTAAGTAGATTTTTGTTTGGCGAGTTTCTCGTTCAAATACGCTTCCAGTCTGCACTTCGCAGATGCTTTTTCATAGTTTGGTAATACAAAACTACAATTTTTGTTAACATTTTAACATTTTGGGAACTTCTGGAATCTAACCAATAACAGCAAGCACCTCTGCAAATTCAGCTACAGCCAAAGGTATGTGAAGTGATCACCAGTAAATAATGGCGTTGATCAAGAACCATAAATGTAAATAATAGATTTACTGCGGAAAGGCGGGACCGTAGGAAAAGTGGCAAAAAATTGTGGAGTTTGCTACTTGAAAATGTTAAGACTGAGAAAAAATATAGCCTAAACTGTTCCCAAGAACAAAGGAAGTCTGTCAAAAAATATTACGGTCCGATATCTTGTGAACTAAGCAGCAACAGCCACTACTACAGAAGCGGTTAAGGTATTAAACTTTAATGCAAATCAGTAGACAGCGAGGCGAAGAATTGCCAAATTGAGCGCAAAGGCATCATAAAAGAAGAAATAAGCAAATTTGATAAAAAATACATGTGCGAGTGTGGCAGCATTTTGTTGCATCGCACGAAACCCTATTGGGATATGTTACATCTTTCAGAATGCAATAAAAAGCACATTTTTCAATTGAAGGTTATTTGGTCTGACAAGACAAAATTAATCGCTTTTAATCAGAGGGCCGGGCATGGTATTGGATCAAAGCCCCAAATTAAGCCTAAGCGCATCATGTAAGGCAAACTTTGAATCAGAGTGGTCGGTCAATAATAGTTTGGGATTGTATTTCAAAAATGTTGTTGGTCCGTTAGTACATTACGCACAAGGAACAGTATCTATTCATATTTCAACAAAATTTGCAAGATGTAGTCGAAAAAATGTGAGTTTCTGCTCGAGCAAAAATTTACTAATTCGCGGACATGAATCTCATCGAGAATTTGCGAAATCAACTAAAAGCACAGCTTACTAAGTATCCAGGTCCGTAAAATCAAGTACATGAGATGTGAAAGCAAACTAAGGATATATGGGAGGATATACCTCCAGAATTTTTACAGAGATACAAGTAAGGTATGCCAAATCGCATCCAGGAACTAAACAAATCAAAAGGGTACTGAACATTGTGTTAATAGTTCTTTTTTCGTGAAAATTGTTAATAAGTTCTTAAAAATATACGAGTGCAAAACTATAACATTTGCAATAATTTACATTTTTGTCTGCTGCTTTTATTATTGTTGTTGTATTGACTTCAAATCATTATGAGATAGGAAGTACAGGTGTACCAATAAGAATATACAACAAAAGTATGAAAGTCGTTAGAACTGGGAAAGACAGCGATGACTGGAATAAAAGTGATACAACATGGTACAGTTTTGCCCGTCACTGTACATTCATTCAAACAGATTTGATATCAGATCGAAAATACAATTCTTTGCGAATAATTAAAAATCGCTATCATGGTAAAACCAAAAAGATAGTTTGGAAACATCTTGTTACTTTTTTCGTCTGTGGATTTGACAACTATAGAAAACAGCGTTCGAAGCGAACTAGATCCCATCTGTGGAATTTAGGACTGGTTCTGAACTATAGAAAAGGTAATGCAGCGGGGGACAATTTCCAATTTCTATGACATCGCCTTGTTAAATTCGCCAGTTGTTTGCATGCAAAAGAGATTTAACGCGAACTAGTAGTGGGTCTAAATGTACTAGAAGCGCACCAGTTCAGAACTAGAGATTTTTCCTACAGAGCTACTATTCCATACGAACACACATATATTTATATATATGGCTGCCGCTGTGGTATAGTGGTTAGCATTGCGCGCTACCACTCCATAGGGCCTGGGTTCAGAACTAGAGATTTTCCCCACATAGCTACAATTCCATACGAACACAGATACATTTATATATATGGCTGCCGCTGTGATATAGTGGTTCGCAGTACGCGCTACCACTCCACAGGGCCTGGGCTCAGAACTAGAGATTTTCCCCACTTAGCTACTATTCCATACGAACACAGATATATATATATATATACATATGGCTGCCACTGTGGTATAGTGGTCATCAGTGCCCGGTACCACTCCACAGGGCCTGGGTTTAATCCCTGGTCAAAGCAACATCGCAAAAAGAATATAGAAAACAGGTTTTTTATTAACAGCGGTCGCCCCTTGGCAGGCAATGGCAAACCTCCGAGTGTATTTCTGCCATGAAAGACATATGTAGTTATGGTGGTACATATTTTTATTTTAGGCTTCATTTTCAGCATACAAATTCAAGTTCTAGTCATAACAACAACGTAGAACACAGTTTTCGAAATAAACATATTTGCATAAATCAGCTGTGCCCCGCCCCGGCCAAAAATTTTATGAAAAATTATTGTTTGTCTAAAATTCATTGTATATAACAATTTTGTTACAGTTTGTTGCCAATGAGAAGCACATCTTTTTCTCAACTTTGAATGCATTTTCCAAAATATTAAAATTACTATTTGGCATGATTTTTGAATGTCTCCGTTTTGCGCGGAAAGAATATACTCATAAAAAGTACAAAAGATCCCCAAAGCAACAAGTCAAGATGGTTATCACAATGACTTAGATTGTTTATAAAAATTAAAATTACAATATTAAAATAAAGAAAAATTAAGAAGAGATAACAACATATCAAATTTGTTTTTAAAATTGCCAAGATTTTTTATACAAAAAAAAATACATTATAACTAATTTATAAAATGGCAATAATAAAATAAAGAAAATTAACTAAGAGAGAACACATTAAATTTGTTTTTAAAATTATCAAGATATTTTATACAAACAAATTGACACTAAAATTAATTTAAAGGTGACTAACACAAAATCGGACCGAAGATTTGCCCATATGTACTTACATAAAAAAATTGGCAACTTTTCCTAAAAGATTTTGGTAGACAAAATTTTAGGCTAGTGGCAACCATGGTACCGGCTATGCGGCAATTTCAGCCCACAATCGGACAAACCAAAATTCATAAATGAATTCGCCGGAGTAAAAATATCTCCTCTGTACCCAATGTTGCCATATGCAGTGTTAACTGTAAATTACTGTTTTTTAGAGAAGCTGACAGTTGTTTATATTACTTCCTACAAATTACACTTTTTTGAAATTCGGGATTTGAACGAATAAATTAAAATTTATCTTTTGGTTGTCTGTAAGTAAATTTGTAAAATAAAAGAGGACGATGAAGGAGCAGCGTTTCCTCATTTGCATTCCAGTCGCCACAGCAAATGTGGAAATAATATTTTTAAAATCCATCTGAATAAAACAATAAATAAACTAGAAATGTCAGCACTCTCTGGTATTTTAAGGACTTCGGATTTTTTAAAAATATGCGGTGATTCGATACCCAATACTACTCAAAAAAAAAAATAAAGCAATTTACGAAAGATAACTGGAATGAATTATGTTAAAACAAAATGTGATTTAAATATTCCTCTTTATAGTCTATTTTTATTTTGTTGAGTTGGTGCAATAAGCCTTAATTTGTTAAAAGCTGGTTTTTTTCATCGAAAATACACCTCTTTCCGGAAATTTAGATTTTTGAAAAAAAAAATCAGGCACCACTGTCTATCTCTGCCGCCTCCCGTAATACCCACATATATATATATATGTATCTATGTATGTACTTACATACATATATACATAAGTATACTGGTAACAGAATATCTTCTTACGCACATTCACACTAGATTTTAAACGTAATTTTGTACGTTTCTTGTACTCTTTAAAATAAACCAAAAACGTTCTGAACTTACATTAAATTTACTCAGCGAAAATATTCACTCATGTGTTACGTTTTGTCGCCATTTCTTCGGTACTTCTACTACTGTTTTTACAAAAGCTTTTCTGATGGCTTCTTTCTTTTTTGCTGTTGCACCATGAGCCAGTTGGCCCGAATTATATCTCCCTTCTCACTTGTGCACACGTACATACAAACCGCTGTCGCATTCACTGCATGTGTATACACAAACCTTTTTGACTTGATAATTTTTTTTTGTGTTACTCTTCTTCGTCTATTCACTGCTTTTTATGTACACATATTTTTTTAATTGAAGGTATATTTTTTACACACAAAATTAAGAAAACGTACTATTACATTGATGAAATCTCGCATGCACAAAATTTTTGCGCCGTTTTCATAAACTTCACAGAATTAAAGAAATTTTCATAAAACAATCCATTTCACTTCAATATTTATATGTATTTTACAATATTTCCACTTTCATCAAAGCCACCCAGTACCGCTCGACCGGCTATTAGTATTATGTTCGACTAACTTACATATGTAAGTAGAACCACGTAATTTCCGTGTTATTAACTTTATTCTGCCGAAAAGTCAATAAAAAGGATCCAAAAGATAGGCAAATTCGTAGCGATGGAACTAAGCCGCACATACGTACAACCAATATATGTATGTACATACGTAGATACACGTTGAGTACGTGTACTTAAAACCAAGAACCGTTCGAGCTGGCTTCACAAATACATCTGATCACGACTAACACACATTCAGTGCGGCAGCTATTGCGGAACACTACAACCTACAGGACAACGAAGTCACAGATACACACGATTATAATACATGAATTCGCCTTGGATACACACTACGCAATAGCCAAGGCGAATTTATGTATATAGCATATTCGTACTCGCCGGAAATGACCAGCGCTGCCAGAAAGCAATGCTAAAAGAATTTCCAAAAAAAAAGAAATATTTTTACCAAGGCGCATCAATTACAGGTGGTAGCGTTAGACGCTATGATTCTTCTTATGAGCACGCTTGTGTCAAATTATCGTCTGTTTTGCTTTATTTACATATCCGCGTATACATACACATATACGTAACAATATACTCTCCCTGCAAACCATTTTTCCAGAGTATTCTGCATTGTAAAGAAGTTTTAAAGAATTCGTTAAGATTTAATTCGATTTTTTGCCGAATTTTCTAAAATGAAATAAATTACGCACACTTCCATTCTTTTACGAAATTTCGGAAGAAAATCTGTGAAGCAACGAAAATAATGGTGCTATGTGAAGAATATCTTTCAGAATTTTTCCAGAATTGTCTTTATTTTTCGTACAGAAATTTCGTTACGAGTTCGCGTCAACCACTTCATATTTTTTTTTTGAAAATTCGTAAAAAAATCGTTACAGAAATGAGATACTCCTAACGATTTCCTTAAGATTTCGGGAACTTTGGTTTGCAGGGCTGCAAACAAATGCTCCCGACATCTTTAAGAGTATCGGAAATTTGTTACGTTTCTTTTAGGAATCTTTAAAGAAAAACATATGAAGCGGTTGACAAGAACTAGTAAAGAAATTTCTGTACGATTTCTTAGAGAAAATTCTAAAAAAAAATTGTGAAACCTTTCAGAATTATATGAAAACTTGGTATGCAGGGTATACATATACATACGAATATGAGTAGATAAAGAAGATGTTGATGACACAAGGAGTTCATACCAACGGTAAATGTTGTTTTTGTGCGATTGCTACAACCTGTAGTTATTGAATCATGTATATTTACATATTAAAGAAAAGATATACCAGGAATTAAAAACTTTCAGCTATGAAAAAAATTATTAATCGATGTTGACAAAGGCAGTGCAGTTTATATTTGATAGTGCTGATATTAAATCTTTAAAATTATTGAATGACAACACAGCGTAACACAATCAAGAAAATCGAAAAAACTTCTAAAGTGACCGACTAGTCCTAGACCTGGTCGAGTCATATAAAAAACTGTCTTTAATATTTTTACAACACTCTGAAATTCTTAACTTATTCATAAGAACTATTTTCGCATGACAAATCGGACTAAACATCTTTTGCCTCAGTTATGTGTTAAATAATTTTAAGATTAAATATGGATTGAAGTTCTAAACAACAAATAATGATTTATCAAAAATACAAGCGTGAAATTAAAAAAAGTGTAAGGTGTATTTTAAGGTGTATTTTATTACGCGAATGCCGATATTGGAATGACAAGTTTATTTAGCACTTTTATAGGTTGACAGGTGTCATTGTGTACAAGCTCTATTTAATATTTTGCTTTTCATTTAACACACCTAATTAACAAAATAAAATCTAAATTTTATTCTATTGCACCCACTTAGAATTAATTATTGAAACCATACATTTCCAAAAATTTATAATGTTTAACAGGGTTCAATCTCTTCGTAAGTAAATCCGTAGGCATATAAGTATACAGTTGGCATATATTCAATTTTAATAGAAATATTTTGTCTACAAAAATGTAAACTTACATCAATATCATTTTATCGCTTATGAAATACGGGATTGGAGCATACTTTTTTTCATTAAAAATAGGAGTAGGGTATAATTCGTTATGAATCCCATGTTGCAAATTTTTTAGATACATGGGTCATTTCCAAATAAAATGTACATGGTAGGAATTTCACTTTTGTTTTTAAGATTAATGAATTTATCCTCTAAATCGTTTACCTACGTGAAATTTGTTGCAGAATACGAAACTGCTTTCAGGCCATTCAAAAAATATTATTCTTTTCATATTTTTACAAAATATTTTCCAGAAAGTCACTTCATATAAAAGTATTCTAAGTAATAATAAAGTTTAGAAACTCGTAGAAAAACGTGTACTAACCGATAAGTATAGTACTAATTTTTAACATTAAAAGCATGATTTTAAACATTTGTATATCATTTTGAAACTCCTTTAACAGATAAGCTAATGTTGAAGTTTATTCCACCTTTTTCATAACGTTAACGTGATGTTTTTTTTCTTGAGAAGCAGACTCTTTATTTAATCTTTCTTCGAAAACAATTTCCCATGCATGTCATTTGCACACTTTTGGAGAAATAAGTTATTAAAATAAAAAATCCCTTTTCACCTAAAAGTGACATTCTTTAAATATTTGACTTTTTGTTTCATTTCACGAAAATATAAAAACAAAGAAATCATTGAAACTCCTTAAGCAATAAACAGACATTGGTAATTATTTTATTTTTAGTGTTTTTTTGCATAAAATACTTGGTGACATTCGGAAAATATTTAGCCGTACTTACCGTCGTGCGTTGATAAATTCACTTAAAAACACAAAATAATTGCTTTTATTAAGTTACTAGCTACTACGGTGGTCCATTCCTGTTACACGGATGAGAAATGAGGTACGAAACAAAGCATATGTTTCTTATACGGGCAGGTTCTGCAAATCACTTCCGAGTGAATTTCAATCAAATTGGCAGGGGTTGAAATTTAATCGAAAGTGAATTGCCGAGCCTGCCAGATAATTTTAATTTTGCAATACTTGTGTGTACACAATATTTTTTGTTGTTCCATTCCCTGCGTAGATTAAAGACTGGGTGGCCGACACGGGAACATGCAACTATTGTCGATGTAAGAAGTGACCCGCATCTATATAAATCTAAACCACACTTTGCCAAAGTTTGACTTTGAGCTTTATTACTTTGCTTCCATTACTTTCTTCATTAATTTGTTAACTGTCGCGTGACCTTGCAGAGTTTTTGCTGATTAATAATTCCGCCACATGATAATTCGCACACCTATTTTCAATTAATATGTGGGGCATCCCTGGTAGATCAAGCGAGTTCAAAAATTCTGTTGGATAATTAACTACTTCCACAACAGTGTTAATCGATTTGCATACAAATATGTTATTTCCTCATTTTGAATGCTGGATTGAATAAAATTAGTAAGTTGATAGACATTTTTATTCCCCGGCAAAAATAGCTCGTTCACGGAGCCAATCGTGATTCCTATAATAAATTTAAATATTAGGAAACATTGGTTCTCTTTTCAATGTTACACAAATTATCAGGCAATGAATTTCGTCTGAAACTCTCACCGACTGGCAGCTTTCTGTTCCAAAGTCCAGTGATTGTCGCGGGAATACCTCGGCTGGTTGAACGTCCTGTAGCTGAACACGCATATTAAGGGCCGGTTACTCAATGTCTGGTTAACACTTATCTCCGATTAAACATAGTTACCGATTCCCTGTTGGATGCATGGAGCCGAAGACGTCGATAACGATGTTTAACCGCAGATTAGTGTTAACCAGACATTGAGTAACCGGCCCTAAAGTAGTTAAATGCAATGCATGTACGTAGTAGAGGTATACGCCGCCGAGCCACGCCACCGCCGCCGTTTTTCGTCATTCCTCACGCGTCGCCGCCGAGTTACGAAAATATCGGCGCGGCGGTCGCCAAAATTTTGTACAAAATTTTCATGTTGTATGCACATTGAAATACATCGTTTGAAGGCACTAAGTACTACTCGTATAAAAATACAATTTTACGAAATGAAAATTATATTTCTAAAGGAGTTTTTTTTTCATAATTTGCGCCACGGGACAAGAATATGACCTTTATTTTTCCAAAAGGAGCGTAACTCAGAAAAACATAGGTAACCTATTTTTCGATCGAAAGCGTTTATTACAGTTAAATTAGTGTCGAATAGTGGTAATCTAACGATATTTTCCGCAGTTGACAATTCTTTTCAATTCTACAACAATACTACTTTTTTATCTTATTACATTAAACGAGCATATCTTGATATATATATATATATATATATATATATATATATATATATATACATGGGGTTTTCGGAAACGGCTCTAACGATTTTGATAAAATTTTGTGCACATATAATGTTTTGGATTTTAAGGTTATCTGAATAGGCATTATCTCCGAGAAGACTCGTATAAGGTTGCCACCTATTCGAAATTAGTTTCAAATTAATTAAAACGTCATAATACGGGTATCAAATGGAAAGTATTTTAAAAATCCCTAATTAAAAAATATTTTTAATAGGGTTTCCACCTATTTTGAATTGCATAATTATTTAATTTTTTTTGTTAAGGAAAAAAGGTAAAATATTACTATTCATGGGTACCAAGAGAAGGTTATTAAACAATGCCTGCCCCATATACAAATTGTTATCTCTTAGGATAATAGTGTAAGGTTGCCACTTATTTTCGATTCTACACAATTTATCTAAAATATCGCAATATGGATATCAAATGAAAGGTCTCATTGAGAACTTTGGTCAGAAAATATTTTCCATCAGGGTTGTCATGCTTCTATGTAATACAAATTTTTATTTTGTTAATTTCAATCAAAATTTTTTTTTTATGTATACACAATACATATACGCTCAAGATATCTACCATTCAATCCAGCATATTTCAGAATAGGGTTGCCACCTAAATTATAGAGTAAAAAATTTACTTAATGCATGTCGAAATCCATTTTTTTTGTTTATTTCCAAAATATTTTTTTAAAGCTATCCAAATCTTGAAATCTTTGAAGAGTATATGCACTCCGAGCAAAGCTCGATCAACCTGGTACTACGCATACTACAACCACAAGAAAGTTATAACACATCAAAAACTTAAGCGCCAATATCTCAGAAGCGGCCGGATTGCATCTAACTCCTCAATTTTTGGAGATAAAACAAAACAAGTTGACTTTCATGTGATTTTTTTTTTAATATGT